GCTATAAAATGGAAATACCCACACATACTGTTCTTGGGAGAGTTAAAGGAGTTAATATATATAACGTGCCAGGCAAAGAGTATGTGCTATATGGGACTTCCCTGGTGGTGCAGTAGTTAAGAATCCGCCTGCCAATGCAGGGGACATGGGTTCAATCCCTGGTCCGGGAAGATCCCACATGCCATGGAGCAACTAAGCCTGTGTGCCACAACTACTGAGCCCATGCGCCTAGAGCCCATGCTCCGCAATAAGAGAAGCCCATGCACCACAACAAGGAGTAGCCCGCATGCAGCAACAAAGACCCAGCACAGCCAATAAATAAATAAATAAATAAATAAATAAATAAATTTCTAAAAAAGAGAGAGTATGTGCTATAAAAACGTCTGTTATTACTATTGTTGCTTGAGGGACTGTGGTACTGTACTGGGTCACTGTGTAACAGCAGCTCAGTCTATCCTAACAAACAGAGTTATGAAAGTGCTCTAAATTCTTTCAGAAATAGACCACACAAAGTAAGTATTTATATTGCATAGAGTAACTGGGTCTATTTATGTCAATGTACTAATGCCAGTTAGTCGTGGATAAACATAGGAAAAAGTGACACTTGGTAAAAGAACTGTTAGGAAAAAAGAAGGCACTGAATTCAGAAAAGCCTATTGCAACTAAGAAAGACAACTCCTTGGATAGGGAGAAGGGAAAATGTAGGTCAGCATCAAAGAGAAAATATGTTTTTAATTTTTAGGCAAACCTGTCAGATATCTTCCTTTATAGGTATTTTCCTTTGGTTTCATACTCCAGATGTGAAATGTCATATAGCTTAGGGTGTCTGAGACCTTCTTTTCTATTCCAATGATCTATTCTTGTACCATCACCAATATATATCAATTATTATAACTTAATCTCACAATTAAAATCAGGGAATATAAATCATCTTTGTTGTTAGTTTTCAAAATGTCCTTGGCTCATTTATAGTGAAGACAAAAACATAGGAAAAAACTTAAATGGCTATCAGTAGGAAACTAGTTAGATAAATTATACTATATCTGTATGATATAACAATTAAAAGGTACAAGTCAGCACTTTCCATAAGGTTTTGGAAAGTATATTCCAAGGGGTTTATTTTGTTCGTCCTATTGCTCCTATAAATGTGATCTTTCCCTTTGTGTTTTCTGCTACTGTTTTTTGTTGACACATACATATACATACACACGCGCGCACGTACGCACACGAAAGAAAACTAGTGAATTTTATTCATCTATCTTGTAAACAGGACTTCATTGAACTTTTATCTGGTCTAAGATACATTTTATAATTGATTTGCTTGGATTTTCCACATGAGCAATAACATCCTCTACAGACCCTGATATAACCTTATCTCACTCTTTTAATGATTAAAACCTTTCCTTTCCCTGTCTCACTGATTTGGCCAGAGTTTTCAAAACAATGTTAACTAATAATGGTTGAGAAAGTCTTCCTCTAACACTTAATAACTATTTGTGATGTTGGTTGCTTATCTGAGTTAGATAATACTCAGCTAGCATGGAAAATATTCCTTAAGAAATTTTATCTGGAACTAATAATGATTTTTAACAAAACTCTTCACAGCATTTATTAAGATAATCATTGGTTTTCTTGCTTTGACCTACTGATAAATTTTAATTAAAGTCTTAATATTACAATAAACTTACTTTCTAAAATAATCCTTACTTTGTCAAAGTGTCCTATATCTGAAAATGCCACTCAATTCAATATTCTAGTATTTTAGATTTTTATATTTATTTTCATGAGTGACAGTGATCTGTAAGTTGTTTCTGGTTATTCTTACCAGGTTTTGATTTCAGCAACATACTAGCTTCTAAACTTTTCTTTTTTTTCTATGCTCTGGAAAATAAAGCATAGGAAAATTTCTTGAAAGTTGAGAGAACTAATCTATAAAGTCATCGTTGTTTGGTGTCTTCACTGAAGGCAACTTGATTGCATATTCTGCTGTGGGTTTGCTACTATTTAAGTCAATTTTAGTTATTTATATTTCCCTAAAATATTGTCCATCTCAATCATATTTTCAAATGTATTAACAGGAGCTATCTTTAGCATCCACTTAGATTGACTGGATCTCCTCTATTTAACTTGCCAAGAACTTAGAGGTATATTAAAATCACCCACTAATGCTGTGTTTCTATCAACTTCTCCATATTATCCAAATAATTATAGCTTTATCTACCTTTGTTCTAGTGCTTGGCACACTTGTTATTATCTAGCTTGTATAAAATCATCTTTGATATCTTGCTTTAAACATTTTCTTCTGTATTTATATTTTGTGGGGTAGTAATAATGTCTTCCTCACCTTTCTTGAGCTGAGAAAAACAGATACACAGTTGCCAATCTGTTTATTTTAAGCTTTCAGTCTTGCTGTTTTAAGAGTTTCCAGGATGTATTAGCTACTTAGATTTTGTTTTTAACCCAACCTGAGAGTCTCTTTTTTTTTAATGGGAGTATTTTATCCTTTTAGATATCTTATTACTGAAACTGATTTGCTTGTTCTCGCTTTGTATTCAGCATTCTCCGGATTTTGTGCATCTTGGAAATTTTCTTACTTTTCTATAGCAGTGATGGATGGACCTCTTCAAGAATTTTTTCCAAGAAGGAATATACATTATTTTATACAGAATTTCAAAGGGTTCTTAGTCCCTGAGGTCCATCCATGGATTCCTATGGTTCAGTAGATTCTAGTCTAAGGATCTCTGCTCTAGATGTTACTTCTACATTTTGAAACACATATTTGGGCCACTATTTCTATAATTACCATCTTAGAAATACAACAATATTATAATTTAAGAAATCTGTGAATATAACTTGCAAAAGACCCAGTTTACTATAGCCGTATATTATGTATCTTTGACCAAAAATTAGTTGATATATTTCAAAATAATAGTAGAGAAACTATTTAGTATTACATAATTAACAATTTGTAATGTTAAATACAATTACTCTACTATCATGTCTTCTGCATTCTTGACTTAATTCATCACTGGCCTGGTTGAAGTATTATTTCATATAATTACTTCAGAAGTGTTCCTGGGCAATATGCTTCTGTACCCTTGCATATCTAAGAATATGTCACCTTCACATACGGGTGGCTTCTAATAAGGGTTCAGAAATCTTGAGTCAGAACTCTTTTCCTCCAAATCTCTGCTTCACTATCTTTTGGCATTAAATGTTTAAGAGAATAAGTCTTGAGGCCAGCTCAATTCATCCATTAACAAATGTTAAATGCACATTTATTATAACTCATGCAATCTAACGCATGCTGAGGATAAAATGAAGGTAAAAACAACAGTCTTAGCTTCGTGGAATTTACAGTCTAACTGAGGATGGTAAAAAAATAATGAAAATTGTGATAAATTTAATGAAGCCTGATATGTGAGAAAATGATGGAGAGCAGGGTATTTTCCTTGTGTCTATGCACTTGCTATTAGAACCCTGCTCTCACATCTTATTCATGAAGCCTTCTTAGTCAATTAAAGTCTCCATTTCTAGTTCAGTGATCCATCAGTCTGAAATGATGCAGAAAAGGAGCCCTCAGAAAAATATTAACTCTGTCTTTTTTTTCCCCATGTTTGATATATTCCCTGCACTACAAGTCAGCTTTCTCTATCCATGTGATTATTCTGGACACTGAACAAAGAACACTCTGGGGTATATCCTATCTCTCTCCCAGTGTTACTATCTGCCACATATAGTGAAGTCTCACAAGCTTTCTACCAGTTAGACCACCACTTAGACCTCCATAATCCTACATTGAGAGACAGAAAGAAATTCCAACAGCTCCTTGACTCTCCCTCCAAATTAGGTACTAGTGGCCCTCAACCTGGAGCCAGAGATACTGCATTTCATAGAAGGGTGAATAGAGTTGACACTCTTCCTTAATCTATTCTTTTCTCCAACATGTTTGTTGCACCCCCTATGTTTATTCCATAAGAATGCTCCTTTATCTAGTTTTCAGATTCAGTACAGATTTTTCCCCTATTTTTGAAGTCTGTTGGCAATTTTAAATGGAATGAGAAGAAGCAATTAGATCAGTTTTCACTTAGCTATGTTTAATCAAGTCCCAGACTTAGACTTTTAAACCTTTTAAAGGAAGTTTCTGAATAATCCATTTTGATATTTTGTATAGACTAAACTTCTACTTTAATAATTAAATACTTTAGAAATGCAACCATAACAGTGAACTCTGTGGTATATACCATAGGTAAATCTATATTGAGGATAATAAACTAATTATAATTACTTAAAATTTTTCTTAAATCACTTACTTCAAAGCCTTGCTTTTAAATATAATTAAAAACCTCTTACTTTTTAAAAAAGTGATCACCTAACAAGAAAATACTTTAGAAATTCTATTAATAGTCTAGACTACTTTCTCTTTTGAATTTTGCTATGTCTTATAAAAAAAATTCTGCTTTTTCCCCACATTAAAAAGTGGAAACTCTTACTTCCTTTGCTATGTACACAATATTGCACCAAAAATGACAAAGAGCCAATTTATGATAATTTCATATTTTCTATCAGGTAAGTAACTGTGCAAGTTTTGTTAAACATAAACCATAACATGTTTGATGATTAGACACCTTTAACTTTAAAAAATGAAGTTCATTAAAAAGCTACAAATGTAAGCTCAAATAGAATTACCTAAACAGTTAATGTTTACATTCTTAGATTTTGAAAATTTATATAAACTATCAAATACTGTTCCTGTGTGGTACTTAAAGTTTTTCACAATTCACATTTCCACATATGTAGTACACCCCACATTCCTTCCCTTAATTACTCAATCTCAATTTCTTATTTTTGAAGAAATATTTATTAACTAAAAAATAATATGAAAGTTTATCATGTTCATTAAAGCCTTCTTTTGCTAGGGAGATGAACAAAAGCAAAAATAGATAAAGTCAAACAATTCCAATAACCACTGAAAGCCAGCAAGAAGCATGTGGTCCTACCTTCAGGGGGTAAACTGTAGAGCTGGGCCACAGGTCCAGTCACAGGAATAACTGGTAGCTGGAAATGGAAAGAACTTTTAATCGTTGGGAGTGGCAGGCGATTTTTAGGGAAACACTTCCTCATTATCAGACTGGAGGTGTTGACAAGAGGATCAAGGGTCCTGACTGCCAAACATTCCTGTTTTATAAGAAAAGAAAAAAAAGATAATGTGCCTTTGGTGAATAAGTGAAACAATTTTACATGACTTCGGAAAGTAATATATTAGTAATTTTCAAAAGGCAAATACCACAAAAAACAATATTTTTAACATAATTATAAAACAGCTTTGACTAATCAGAAATATCTCTTTGTAAGTAAGAACCTCATATGGCAAATTTAGCAGTAATTTTCCTTAAATATTTTAACTAAGCAGAAATCAGTACCATCTTTGGTACCAGAAGTCACCAAAGCACTAAGTAATATCTATGAGTGACTTAGGGAGCATTTAGCAAGCCTAGGGTATAAAATAAAAATGAAAATTTAAGGGAAGAAGAAAAAAAGAAGAAAGATTAAGAAATTAAGAAAGGTGTAAAACATAAAAAGGAATGTGCATTTGGCTGAGCCTTTCTCAAAATTCTATCAGTTATCATGCAATAGCACCCCTAATAAGTTAGCTGTTCAACTTATAAAAGAATAGCCTGAATATCACAATTTTAAGTTTTAAGAGTTTAATTTGCTATCCTGGTATCTAATCTTGAGAAGGACTAGTGAACAGGGAATTTGAAACTCATATAACACTGTTATTATTATTGACAATTGACATCTAGATGGCTTTAGATGGCACTTTGATAACCTGTGAAATTTTCAATAGAAATCTTCACACCTGACCTGTCAAAACAGATGAAAAACTAAGGCTCATAAATGTGAAGTGGCATAAACAAAGTCACCCAATTCTTCCTCATATATCAAATATCCATCACTGTCTATATTAGGAATAGTAAAAATAAGTGCATGTGATCGATCTAGAAAAGAAAAAGCTAAGAGTTAACATAAAATATGTGTTCTTAACTACTCTCACACAGAAAAAGATTATTTGTTGTGTGTAAGATCAAGAGGGCACAACCAAGATGACTGGTTGGAATTTTCAAGACAGATTTTGTTCTAATAATTATAGCCTTGTAAAAATAAAAGGTTACTTTGCAATATCCTCACTCTCCATAATTGACAGTCTTCTACAGATGCTAGAATCTTGCTAAAGATATTGTTGAGAAGGTTTATGCATAAGATGGCTGGCAGAACCAGTATTCCCAACTCCAGGTTTCACTTCTGTACCTGCACTATTTAAAAATATTCTCTCCAGAATATAGACTGAGAACACTCACAAACAACATATCTGCCTTACCAGCCATAAAGGATTTGTGAATACTTATGAGGGGAACATACAAAACTGAGTACAGCCAACTGCACACCTTAGAAAACGTGGCTATATGGAATTCCTTCCTGCCCAGTGGAGAGATTTATATACATCTTCCTTTTACGTATGGGGGAAAACCCTCATATTGCAGAGATATGCACGGAGCACTTTCTCAAACTCAGTCTGATGTCACATTTGAGAAACGATTGTGCCTTTTGGCTTTCGGATTTTTTTAATATATTTATCATACTTTTTGAGTATTTTTAGAAATACTAAGTATTCTTAAGAACCAAATCCTATCATTAATAGATAATCATAATAACAGGAAGAAAATTTAAAACTCACTTGTGAAGTGTTATAAAGAATTTTCATCCCATTGGCATCAATAAATGCTTTTCTTCCCAACTTGATGCTTGTAACACTTTTTAAACTCTGTAAAATTCCTTTTCGAATGAGCATGTTTCTATGCCGATTATCATGGCGGTGCCAATCTACATAAATTGTTAAAAGGACTTGGACATATCCTCTGTCTACAGCTCTCCTGGCATTTGTTTCTTTAACAAAAGAAAATTGAGAAAGAATATTTTTTAAATAATAAGAGACACTGGTAGAATAAATCAAATTAAAAACATAACCACAATACTGGAATGAAGTCTTACAATACTTATTTCCAAAAATAAATGGCAAGGCACATATTTAAATATTTTTTAGCTAACAAAATAAATATGACAAGTTCCAGGTAATTTTCCAGAAACCTGCCCATATATTGTTTTGTGGTTAATAAATATCAAAATATCTATAACACAATTAAGGTTGTATATTTTTAAATGTTAATACTAACAAAACTTTCATATATTTTAAAACTTATGAATATACTGACTTTCATTACACCAAAAGGAATATATAAGCCTTTAACTCACTAGCTGTGACTATGATTTTGTTAAAAGCCATTATCATTATCGCAACTTCTATTACAATCTTTGTGTGAAATAAACTCCATTGGATTGTAGCTCCTACTATAAATTGTATATGTTTCTATTGAAATTACTTTAAATTTTAATTACCCTCACAATTATATAAATATCCATGCTACAACAAAGCTAAGTGAAAAGTACTTAAACAACTTTTTAGTAAGTGAAATGTAAGAAGCATTATATGATTAGAAGATAGTGCTTTATTGCCATTAATTTTTTAATATATGAAAAAACTACATCAAAAATTTTTTTTGTAAAGTCAATTTTATTGGGGTAAAATTAACAGAAATAAATCCATAAATTTGATGTACTTCATTTTTTTAATGTTAATATTTAAGATTTTTAACCAAAAGGGTGCATTTCACTAAGATGAGAGCAAGGGAATCATATCTTAGCAACATCCTGAGCCACCCAGCACCACATGGGTGGGCCAATGATAAGAGTGCAAGATAATGTGGAATACCAACCCATCTGAGGTTGTTTAATTAGAAAGAAATACCAATCTCTTCCTCATCTACATTTACGTATAAAATGACCACCTGGCTCACGGCATGGACACTAAGATAATGCAACAGTAAGGCTGTGCTGCTTTTAGTTGCCTGAAAGAATTACTACAGTTTTAAATGTGCTAATACCCACCTAAAACATAAAGACACTGAGATCAACAAACTTATTAATGCCCTCTTAGAAATTATGTTCTGATATTTGAGAGCTGGAAGAAACTCACATGGGCAGGAGGGGGGCACTTTCTTATGTAAAAGGTTTAATACCTCTGTTGTGTCTGGAGGAGCTAGTTTGCTAAGGCTGTGGCTATCTATAGAACAGTTCAATAGTTCTGACTAACAATAGTTTCATGTATTTTAAACAAATATACACATTTTGTTTACACCAGTTGGAATATATAAGCCTTTAGCTTACTAGCTTTTTAGTATTACCAGTAATACTTAAAAGATATTACTATCATAATGTCTTTTAAGAATCACTGTAACTCCTATTACAAACTGTGTTTCCACTGGAATTCCCAAAAGCCTAAATGGTATTTATGAGAAATATTTAAATTCCTTATTGAAGATCAAATTAAAAACTTGTGCATAACTCAAACACAGGTGCTGAGTGACTCTTAAGAGAAGTGAGCAGATCTATCTGCAATCCAGGATCATTTACTTGTCAGTTACTTTTTTATCTGATGGATGGAGCAAACAGATATGTTTGCCCACCATCCTCCTTTGAAGGAGAAGAAGGGAGGGAGTAAAAGGAAGCTCATTATTTAAAACTGAAGATATCAGCATTTCAGTCATTTTAGGTTAACTGATTTCTAAAAATACTTGAAACTTAGAGTTTTAGTTTTTACTGACTTCGAATTAGTGACTTTGTCATCAGTGATTCTGAAAATTAGTAAGCTTTAATAAGAGTTTAATTTTAATGGCTATTTTAATCTACTCTAAATCAAAAAATATGCCTACAGTAATTTAAAAATTAAGCTTTAAACAATTTGAACCACAAAGGCAGGGAGGGCACATCAAAGCAAGGCTACAAATATCTTTGAAATTAATCCAAATATTCTAACCTTGGTCTAAAGTTTATCACATCATATATGAAAACAAAGCTACATAGCTAATCTAACTGAATAACACACATTTCATTTCAAGGATAAAACTGTTAACTGAATTTTATGCACTCTAGTATATAATACTAATACCTAAGGTGATTCTTTAAATTTAATAAATCATTACCAAATATCAGATTCTCAATCAATTAATCATTTGCTACTGTCCTTCTCATCAAACTTAAGGGCAAGTTGGTCTGACCATCAATAGACAGTTTTGGGGAAAAATAACATCAAAAGCCATCAACATAGATCTTTAGGACTAAATGTTATTGTGGTTAAATAAGATGTTAATTTAATCAACCAATGGAATGGGGGAATGGGAGTGCTAACAAAAATTAATATTTAAAATACAGACACTGAGTATCATGGAGAGAAAAAAAGCACATAATGCAGATGGTTACTCTCCAAAAAAAAAAAGCACCATATTGTGTTAAGACACATTTCCTCCAATACTTCAATTTTGAAGATTAAAAAAATTGTGCTTTAGTCTGTAAATGCATTTAGTAAAATGTAAATTTACATTAAGTCATTTTTAATGTTATAAATTTGAATTTTATGGTAGAAATAAAACTTCTAATAAAGAGGTCCTAACTGAAAATCATATGTTATATAGAGACAGTAGTTGTCAAAGATACTCTTCATGGTCGATGTTCTCAAGGCCATGTTAGCATCACTTTTTCAAAATGATACTATATAATATTTACTTTCTCCTACTAACAAGGCTTTATGTTTATGAAAGTAACTTAGAAAAAGGAAGTCAATATACTTGAATAAATTATATGAATGTACTGATAAATTAGAGCTCAATAAACATAAATGATCTTAGATATATATCAATCAACTGTACTAAAAGATAAAATCAACTTTCACATTAAATTATTATGAACAAGCTTTATAAACATAAACTAAATCTACATTTCCAGTTTCTTTAACATAGTAGACAGAATACTCAGAAAAATAGTATCTAGTATTTCTAGTATTTAAAAACTTACTTGATTTTAGCAATGCAGCAAGAGTGTCTAAAGCAACCCTGTCAACATGAGAAAACACAAACAACAACAAAACTAGTAAAATTAATCTACAATAGTAAATTCATACAATCTTTTCAGATAAGTAATTAGTATCTACTCCAAATGTCATTCCTGTTATAATCAATTACATATGGTGTTTCTCTACATGCCTCACTTCCTTCAGGTTAAAACTGGATATGAGGAAGATTGAAATATCAACAAAAAAGCACCAAAAACAAATGTTTAAGAAAGAAAAAGAAGAAAATTAACAATGTCTAAGTCTTCATATCAGAGGTTAGGTGAATGGAATCACTGTACCTGTGTCTGACTGGGACTGAGTTCACAAAGGAATAATACTAAGAATCATAGATTCTGATTCACAAAAAAATTAAAACAAAAACAAGTTTTAACACAAAGTTTGCAACTACAAAATTCTATAGATATTCGTAGCTATCTGACTTCAAAGTAGTTTAGCTCTATCAAGCAACAATCCTAACATTTAATGTGATAACAAATGTAAAATATTTTGGAACTAGGAGGTTTGGGGAGAGGAAGTATGAACGCTTAACATTTTTCAGCCATACGGCAGCAAAGAGAATAATGACCTAATTAACATCTCAAAAATTCTCACTGCCCATTAGAGTACTAATATATTCTTTGAATATAAATGTGCAGTTACACACAGTGAAATCAGTGGTCATTAAGCAGCTTTAAAAATATATATAACATCACTGTGAAAAACCTGTAATTCAAATATTTTTTTAAAAATGAGTTATTGAAGAAATGGAACTTTCAGGAACTTTAAAAATATAAGCCAGTACCTCTTAGTAAGATTTCAACAAGGATAATTAATTTGCATAAAAATATGTACACTGTCAAATTCAAGCATTTCACTCATCACTAAGCATTTGTTGAATGCCTACTAGATACCCACAGTAGCAGGTTCTTCATGGGTATAAAATTAGAAAACAAAGTTATCTCTTTCACAGGTTATTTTACAATCTAGATAATGTAATAAAATGTACACATCTATGGAAAAACTACTCAAGAAATTAAAACTGAAAACAAGGTAATAAATTTAATAAAGCTGCATACACATTAGTGGTACACATAGCGTGACCAGATGATGACTTCTAAGATGACTTAGAAGATTTAAAACTGATACTGATTTAAGATGGATATTGGTTCAAAATAAAACCTGAAACAACAATCCAGGACTAGGTACAGACTAAGTGCTCATTTATAATAAATGCTCATTACTGCTACCCTCTAGAGAAAGTTGTTAACAGTTACATTTTGGTTTATTGATACAAATAAAGCAACCATATAAACATTTATTTATGATAACATTTGTAAAATAAAAACAACAGTATATGCTCTAAAAAATATAAACTCCTGCATGTAACTTCCTCAAAACAATGTGCAGTTTTGGTAATGGCAAGTTAAAAGTAAATGAAAACTATAAAATTATAACAGAATTTTCACAGCACTGAATCATCAGTAAGAAAGTTTTCATAATCTTATAATTATTCAATAAAATGCGCTTAAGACTATAAAACTATCAGAATAAGGATGACTTTTAAACTGGTCAAAATCAGAACTAAATGGATCTTCTAAGTACAATGGCAATTTTGGGGAAAAAAGAAAAGAAAACTTCATTCAGCAAGACCTGATAAATGCCAAAAATTGTTACACATGCCTTGTATATGTGTTTTCTAGTTTAATTCTTAAAAAAAAAATCCTAGTTCATAGAAGTGACACATTTTATGAATAAGGAAACTAAGGATTTCAGAATATAATATGCCTAGGGTCACATAAAAACTAAGTGATATGAAAAATAAATCATACAATATTCTTGTTGAGAAAGAAAATTATGAAATCAGAAATATCAGTCTCCTCCAAAAAGATATGTTGAAGTCCAAACCTCTAGCACGTGGCCTTATCTGGAAACAGGGTCTTTGCAGATGTAATTAGTTAAAATGAAGTCATGCTGGAGTAGACTGCCCTTAATCCATCAAGACGGATGCTCTTATAAAAAGAGGGAAGACTATTTGAAGACAGACACACAAGGAGAGAACACCATATGATGATAGAGGCAGAGACTGAAATGTTGCACCTACAACCAAGGAACACTAAAGATTGCCAGCAAACCACCAAAAACTAAGAATAAGCAAGGAAGGATTCTCCCCTGCTGGTTACAAAGGGAACACTGGTCCTGCTGACAAGTTGATTCTGAACTTCCAGCCCCCAGAGACAATAAATTTGTTATTGTAAACTACCAACTTTGTACTAGGTACTTTGTTACAACAGTCCTAGGAAACTAATACAATCGCTTAGAGGCAATCATTTGCAATGAACTCAGAATCTTCCCATCTACAGCTAAGTCTTAATTCAAAATTTTAAAAATCTTAACAGTACTTTCAGAAACAGTCTTTCTGCCTGCTGGCAGTTGTTTACAACACATTGAACCAAACAGAAGTGCTCTGACATTTTCTAAGCCTTAAACTACATGTTTTTCCCTTGATCTTTATTCTTCAACGCTGCCAAAACTGGATATGCACCCAATTCCTTCTGCCCATCATGCTTGTTCCACAGCCCCATTAGATGAAAAGAAATTATGAAGTTTGGTGCAAAGTCATCTTGACAGTTTTACCAAGATGTTTTTTAAAAGGTATTTTTAAAAACTCCAGTACAAAGGAATTTCTGCAATTCTATGTCAGTTATAAGCCAGTATGAATTTATAATATAAAAGTTACCCAACAATTACAGAATAGTATTTATTGAAAAGTACATTTTAATATGTTGATTAGAATTTCTCAGCACCAATATTTTATACTTCCTCATATATTTTTCAGTCTTCATAAGTCCCACACAGAATAACATAACTAACAATGGCTTTAAAAGCAGCCTGTGGCTTATTCATTTGGGAGCAGTGAGGGAGGAGAAACTGAAGCCCCAGGTACTCATGAAGTTATTTAAGTTGGGAGGGGGCATTAATCCTTGCAATAACCTCCAAACCTGTAGTGAAACTCAGAAAGAGTTACAGTAACTTTTAGAGTTGCTTCCTTCTAGATTAACAGTGTTTAAATCCAAAACCTAAAATTGGAAAGGAAAGGAGATTCTAAAGGAAAGCGCCGCTCTTCAAACATAAATAATAACACTCAATCTTCTTCAACTAACTAAATGCACGGCATTAAGGGCAGGAAGAATTGGTATACAAATGCTCTAGACGTTGAGATTGTTTAATTAAGGGGGAGATCCTACAATTATTCAAAATAATAAAGGAATCATGATATAGATGCCTGGTCAATGAATGGTTTATCCTTTTTAAAGTAAAAATAAAGTTTAAAGAGTTTTTCTTTTTAAAATATAGAAAAAAGAATGAAGGAATAATGTAAACTTACATTCCTCTCTCAGAAGTTTAGACCCACTGATTTCTACATCGTTTTGGAAATAGTCCATGTTGTATATTATACAGATACTTGTGAAATGTTCTTTTCTCATAGGAATTTTTATATTAGGTTTGGTAACTTGGTTACAATAGAGTAATGTAGATCTTAAGTAGGAGATCATAACCAAGATAAAGATTAATTTTAAAGCACTTTAAAGATCAAGAAGAGAAAAGGCATAAAAATTTTAAAGAATATATTTTTAATATTAACTAGGATTCATTCACATCCACATTACTACATTACTTACCTAAACTAATTACACTGCATTAATATAGGCATTGTGCTAATTACAAGAATTACCTCATTAAATCCTCATAACAACCTTATGATGTAGGCACAAATACTACCATTTTACAGACAGGAAACTGGGGCATAAAAAGTTAGGCAACTTACTTCATATCATGAAGTCAGTAAGAGCTAACTCGCAAATCAAGTTCTGCCGGGCTCCAAAGCCCACTCACTACACTACATCAATTCTGAAAGTTGGTTTTACTGATTGTGAACAATCATTTTCTTTATCTTGTCACATTTCATCAGATGCTCTAAGACTGTGTGTATGATCTTTATATAAGTAAATATGCTATCATCCCACCAAATAATATTTAATAAATAATTATATGTGCAAGTAAGCTTCCATTTTCAAGCAGGGTAAAAGCTAAATATCTGACCTTTATTAAGTAAGGGTGAAAAGACTAAGTATGTTCTGGACATTATTCATTTGTAAAATTTAACCAAATAGTTGATGTGGACAAGTTCTTCCTTATAAAAGAATCACAGCTAATAAAAGTAGAAAGAATGAGAAAATTAGAAAAGTCACTATTTTGGAACCTTTTAAGAAATAATGGATCAGGCAATGCTATGAAATATTGCTAAGTTTTTAGGTGAAAGGGGATGGAACATTTCAACACAAAGATTTTCAGTGGTGCCAAACAGAGACCCAGCACCACCTATGAAATATTTTGACCATTAAAAAAAAAAAAACCAAATCTAATCAAGCCTCAAGCTCCATCAGTCTACAGAAAATTTGAGGGATATACCTACAAATTAAGTGACCCCAGTATACAGTCATCTTAATCTATGTTGGGACATTCTATAAGATGCCACCCAGTTCCTTCAACAAAAAAACAAAACAGAACGGAAAAGTAGGGGGACTGTTATTGACTACAAAAAATTACAAGACTTATCAATCAAGGAGAATGTAGAGCCCTTATTTGGATCCTGATTTTAACAAGCCAACTGTAAAAAAAAGACATTCCTCAGACAATCAGAAAATATTAGATGATCTTAAAGAATTATTAATATTGTTGAACAAAGAAATGATACTTTGGTAACACTAAAAGAAAAAAACTATGTCTGATAGTGATCATACTAAAGAATTTACAGTATAAACGTCATGGCTGATATTTGCTTTAAAGGGCATTTGGAGACAACTGGAGAAAACTAAACACACTGGATTTTAGATTCTGTTAGGGAATTAATCATTTTGTTGAGTATGATTATAGTATTATGGTTATTTTTTAGGTCCCTATTTAGCAGAGTTACATAATGAAGTATTTAGGGGAAAAGTGAGAAAATATCTGGTATTTGCTTACAGAAATTCATATATATGTGGATAACATCTGGGATTTGCTTAAAAATACACCAGGAAAAATAAATAGAAGTCTAGAGGGGGAATAAATGAAACAAACATGGCAGAATGTTGATAACTGTTGAATATAATAAGTAATAATTAATATAACATAAATGCTGTATTTGAAAAATTCCATAATAAAAAATTTTTTTAAAGAATGACCATTAATTTGGCTTAAGAAAGTACTAAATATAATGAAATAACTGAAACTGTTTTCATTTTCTGAGGTTGAGAGACCTACAAATGAATATGTGCATATGTGTGTGTATACATATTTATTTATTATTTATTTATTTATGGATGTGTGTATATATATACACACACACACACACAAATACACACATATATAACACATATTTTGAGATATATATACATATCTCAAAGTAAGAAAAAGAATAACATGATTTTGACAAAGAAGAAATGTATAAATTTAAAATATATCCAGATAATTGTAAGACTGAAGGAAGTAGTCATTAAAAGACTGTAAAATTGGGTAGGGAATATAGTAGGCACTCAATAAATGTTTCTGAATGAATGATACTCTATAAATGGTCTTTTTTCCTATTATAGTATCTAGGAATGTTCAAAGTCTAAATTTCCATAACACTATGCTCAATGAATTTATCTAATTTTGATATATTTTTGAAGATTAAACTTTATACTAAAGAAAATCTTTATCATAATTAAATCACTATTTAAGAACTGAGAAAGGACCCTAGATACAATTTAACTCAACCTGCTCATTGTACAGATCAAGATGGTAAGGCCCAAAATAACAAAGGGTATACCTCTATTTACACTTAAAACATTTACTTACTTCATAAGACTGGAATTCTTCTTACTAAATGGTCCGATGATTTTAAACATCAGTTCCACAACTCCATTTTTCCCTAAGGATACAGAATTCACAGCTGGGAAGTGAAAAAGAAGATGTAAAGTGATTTAAAAACCTCAGTGAGTAGAAATGTATATACGTGTGATACATAGCCAAAAATATATACAAATTGTTTAGTAAATGTGAACTCAAGTCCCTCGTGAAGTCCACCTTAGTCAATACTTCAAAGGAAGGGGGGGGGTTTTGCTTTATTTTTTAATGTTGCAGGGAAATTGCAGTTACATGTTGTTAAAACAAAGTGTTAGACAAAGGCATGCCAATGGGAAGATGAGGTGGGAAAAGAAGTTAAAACAAATTATGAAAGGTCCTAGAAGTTGTTAATTCTTTCAACTGCAGGGCATTACCCAAAAGGAACAACAAATCAGATCTGCATTTTAGATACAGGTCAGATCTAACAGCATTGTAGGAAAGATGGATTTGAGAGACACATTAGGAGACTGTGGTCTAGGTGAGAGGTAATGAGGACCTTAACTAAAACGACTGCAGTAGGGAAAAACAGGCAACTTTAGACAGAACATGCAAATAATTACCTAACCAGAAAATTGTGCCTAACATTTTCAAACCTGAACAAATATTATTTAAAAATTATAGATACACTGTTTACTGGCCTCCTGGTGCTTAATTAAATAAAATGCCACTGAAAATGTAGTTCCTAAAGTTTTGTATGACAATTTTAATTTCCTCTATATCTGTTTATTACTCCATTATCGCTTCTAATTTTAGTCTGTTTTGTCTTCCTTTTTCCTTCATTCAGTGGTTTATCTGTTTTATTTTTAATCCAAATGTTTTATTTTTTAAATCAACTTTTGAAGATTTCATAACATATTTTTTCTTTACTATTTCATTCCTCTGCTTTCCTTATGTTTATTGCTCTGTTCCTAATTTCTCTGTTTAAACAGCCAATTAATTCATTCCCTTATGTGAGTCTTAATTATTTAAGTGTTAATTATTTAAGTATTCAAAACTATTTTCCTGTGAGTACACCTTTAGCTATACTGTCAAAGTATAGATACAGATAAATAAATACACACACACATGCATCTACCACTTTGATTATCATTATTTTGTGATGATGTTCTACAATAATATGTACTGTACAGTCTCAATTCTCGGTGTTTTGTTAATCATTCCAATCCCATCATCAGGGAATAGAAGAAAATCCATACCTCAGGGGCTTGGGACCTAATATTACATTAGTGAGAGAGGGAGAGAGAGAGAGAGAGAGAGAGTGTGTGTGTGTGTGTGTGTGTGTGTGTGAGTGTGTGTGCGCCCGCCCATTGGGAGACACTTCATTACATTAGTGAGAGAGGGAGAGGGAGAGAGAGAGAGAGAGGGAGAGAGAGAGAGAGAGAGAGAGAGAGAGAGAGAGAGAGAGAGAGAGTGTGTGTGTGTGTGTGTGTGTGTGTGTGTGTGCGCCCGCCCATTGGGAGACACTTCATCTGAGACTCTCTCCCTGTGATTACTCTTTTCTCCAGCTTCCTCAGAGGCTCCTGTGCTATTTATTTTCAGTTCTGCTACTTCCCTATTCATTACTGAAGAGAATTAGCTCCATGTGACTATGCCACCACATTCCTTCCTTCTCAATTTTCCTCTCATCTGTGAAAATCCAAATAGGCATAGCAGTTTTTCCAGCTTCCAATATCCTCATATTCCTCCAAATCTTCTCCACAGGCCACCTACTCATCCTCCTTACTACATGCCTTTACAAACTGGGGGAATTAATGAGAATTCTGAAGATTTTGTCAACTCACCTTCTTACCCTACCTCACTTTTGTGGTGGGGGGTTAGAATTACAAAAAGCCATATTAAATATTCTCTTTCCTTGTCCACAAATTTAAGAGACTTATGAAGTTACAGTACAAAATTTTCATTTTGTGTTAACTTCACAACACTGAGCTAACTAAAAGCTGCTCTGAAATACTCACAGTTGGCAGAATATACTCGTAAAAGCTGAAGACAAGGCAAAACCAAGCGATGATTCTGCAAATTCTGTTTGACCAAATTCAGGGTTATATTTAGAGCTCCATTAATTCTAGCTTTCGCTCCAAATTTTTTGTCTGTTTAAAAAAAAATGAACAAACACAATTTATTCATATATAACTTCTGAATAAAATGAAATGTCATAAAACAATGAAATTTCTAAAACTAATATTGTAAATTCATATTATCAGCGAAAAGTTGATCTGAGTTCATTAAAGCTGTAATCACTTTCTTATATGATTATGATTAAAAGCTTAACTAGACTGTAAGTTTTTTAGACACTGAGACGTGACTATAAGATGACTATTAATGAAAAGCAAACACATTCTACCTGCATGCTCCTCAAAGCATTCCCATCCACACTCCCTCCTTCTGGCCTCAACAATATCCATGTTATGTGTATCTTTTGTAACATATATATGCCAGGGACACACACACCAAGACACACTTCTGACTTTAACGCATTTTTTTCTTCCTTTTTCCACCACATGCAATAGAATTACTCAGGAATTCAGGATCCTAAATTCTTGCAGGTCACTAGTTGACTGTAAAAAGCATTCCATGACTCAGACCAAGAAAAAGCAGTAGCATTTTAGATTGTAAAATTTACCAGTTTCAAGGCACACAGAATTGATGTAACAAAAACAGTTCCACCTGAGAGTCATACAAACGAAACCCTTACCTTTCGGTCCAATTTTTGCAAGAATGGAATGAATCTGCACCATTAACTCCTCATTCAGAGGAGATTCTTTGCTGGCGTTCATAAGTAACTGTAATAATATTTGTGAACCACCTTTGGAGACTAAGAAACTCGCTCTTCGACCTCCACCTAAGAAGTTTTTTGAAAGAAATATGTTGAAATCGCAAATTCTTCTATAACATATTAGATATCACAACCTGTTAGCTTTAAAGAAGTATTAAAAGTGATGACTTCAGAAAGCAAACAAATAGCATCAAAATAAAATTTTATTTTATTTGTTAGTTTAAAAAATAGCGCAGACAGTAAATAAAAGTGATGCAAAACTCTACATTCAAGGCTCTAAAACACATGGGTTTGAGGGACACCAGAAGATACCAAAAACAAAGCAAGAACAAGAGTATGACATTTTCGCTTCCAAATTCCAATACTCAGAATAGCCTCTACTCTACAAGTATCAGAAAATTCCAAAAAAAAGTACACATGATGCATTTCTGATCATTGTTTACAAACAGAAATTACACCAAAGCAAACAAAAACTTACCAGCTGACACCAGCTCAACAAGAATGCTTAAGATATTAAGTGTAGTTTGAAGATCTTTCGTGTTCTGAAATAAATAGTTTATTTGCTTTATTAAAACATTGTAAATTTGTGATTCCCACACTTTTTCTGTCTGTAGGGAACCACCTATATTTTACAGATGACCTTTTTGGTTTCTCTAAGAATAAACGTATTCAGGTTTTCACTATTCTCACACATCACTTCAGTCTCTTCTTATTGCCCTTAAAATATTTTGGAAATCATCTGAGCTGTTATTTTCTTATTATCAACAGGAATTAATTTGTCATTTGAACTCCTCAACTTCTACCAAATAGACAATACAAATAAATGTATCAAAATATAAAAGGCACTACAATGTATATATGGTGACTATCCAGTGAGCTCCCCTCTCAAAAAGTAACTGCATTATCAATTTCTTATGCATCCAGCAAGATACTGTACACACATAAAAGTAATCCATGTAAATACACATGTATACGTAGATTTATTTCTCCAAATGGTATTACTGCTCTATAGATAACTATTTTTTATACTGATATTTTTACATGTCAATAAATAGTTTCTTCACCCTTTTTTAAGGGCCACATGATATATTCCACTGCATGGCAATACCACTGTTTATGAAACCAGTCACCTATCAATGGGATATTTAAATTTTTTAAATCTTTTGCTATTAAAAATTGCAACCAAAACTAAGTACGTACACTTACAGGGAAGAGAGTACAACTGTACATGGGATAAATTCCTAGAATTTCTGGGTCAATGATATGGGCATTTATTTTGATAGTAGATATTACTAACTTGCTCTTCACTGAGCAATTTACACTCCAACCCACAATGCAGAAAAGTAGCTACTTCCCAAAGTCTGAACAACCAATCTAATAAGAGAAAATGTTTAAATACTGTACTTTGGTTATATTTCTCTTACTAAAAGCAATGCTTGGATGAAGAAAACCACATAGATAGCAGAACTGTGGCCTATTCAAGGAACTGCCTCATCCCCAGAGTAGAAGGATTTTACAGTGCTTATTTAGAGGAATTTCGGAATTGCAATGTATCAGTGACTGGAATGGGACTCTTGTTCTTCCCCTTTCCAAAAGGGAATAAGTGTTGTCTACTTCACCATTTAAGGGCAGAGACTAATGGAACCAGAAAGTCAAATCCAGACCAGAAAAAGGACCACACATTAACCAGAGACCCTCGTCTTAGCACTGTGGGTGTTAACTGGACCACTGGCTTACTGGGGACAGAGTTGGAAGAATGAGAGACAAACATTTGTTAAAGAAAAGAATGGACTGTGGCAGGAGAAGTATTGCTAAGTGTTCATCTTCTTCCTGGGTACACAGCCAAACCACATTTTCCAGCTCTTTTGCAATTAGGTTTGGGCCATGTGACTGAGTTCAGGCCACTGGAATCTGAATGGAAGTTGCACTGCTATCTCATTTACCAGGGAAGTGGGATACTTTTTTTTTTGAATACAGTTTTTTATTTTTAATTTTTAAAAAATTTTATACAATTTTAAAAGGTTACTTTCCATTTACAGTTATTACAAAATATTGCCTATATTCCCCATGTTGTACAATACATCCTTGTACAAAACTATCTTGCACCCTATAGTTCTTTTTTGGGGGGGAGGGGATATAGTTGTTTTACAATGTTGTGTTAGTTTCTACTGTACAGTGGAGTTCCCTGTGCTATACAGAAGGTTCTCATTAGTTATCTGTTTTATACATATTAGTGTATATATGTCAATCCCAATCTCCCAATTCATCCCACCCACCCTTTCCCCCCTTGGTGTCCATACGTTTGTTCTCTGCGTCTGTGTTTCTATTTCTGCCTTGCAAACAGGTTCATCTGTACCATTTTTCTAGATTCCACATACATGCGTTAACATATATTTGTTTTTCTCTTTCTGACTTACTTCACTCTGAATGACAGTTTCTAGGTCCATCCATGTCTCTACAAATGACCCAATTTCGTTCCTATTTATGGCTGAGCAATATTCCATTGTGTATATATACCACATCTTCTTTATCCATTCATCTGTCAATGGGCATTTAGCTTGCTTCCATGACCTGGCTATTGTAAATAGTGCTGCAATGAGCATTGGGGTGCATGTGTCTTTTTGAGTTATGGTTTTTCAGGGTATATGCCCAGTAGTGGGATTGCTGGGTCATATGGTAGTTCTATTTTTAGTTTTTTAAGGAACCTGCATACTGTTCTCCATAGTGGCTATATCAATTTACATTCCCACTAACAGTGAAAGAGGGTTCCCTTTTCTCCTCACCCTATCCAACATTTATTGTTTGTAGGTTTTTTGATGATGGCCATTCTGACCAGTGTGAGGTGATACCTCATTGTGATTTTGATTTGCATTTCTCTAATAATTCATGATGACTAACAGACATATAGGAGAAACTGACAATAATACATAATAGTAGAAGACTTTAACACCCCACTTACATCACTGGACAGCTCATCAGACACAAAATCAAAAAGGCAACAGTAGTCTTAAATGACACCAGAGGCCAGTTGGACTTAATAGGTATCTACAGGACATTACATCCCAAAACAGCAAAATACATAATCTTTTCAAGTGCACATGGAACCTTCTCCAGGATAGATCACATGCCAGGCCACAAAACAAATCTCAACAAATTAAAAGGCACATGAAAAGATGTACAATAAGGATAATTATTATAGAAGTGCAAATCAAAACAACAATGATATATCACCTCACACCTGTCAGAATGGCTATCATCAAAAAGAACACAAAATACAAAAGTTGGCGAGGATGTGGAGAAAAATACCCATGTACACCGTTGGTGGGAATGTGTATTGGTGCAGCCACTGTGGAAAAGAGTGTGGAGGTTTCTCAAAACTAAAAATAGAACTACAGAATGACCCAGCAATTCCAATCCTGAGTATATATCCAGAAAAAACCAAAAACACTAATTTGAAAAGATATATGCACACCGATATTCATAGCAGTACCATTTACAATAACCAAGATATGGAAGCAACCCAAGTATCCATAAACAGATGAATGGATAAAGAAGATGTGGTGTGTGTGTGTGTGTGTGTGTGTGTGTGTGTGTATATATATATATATATATATATATATATATATACACAATAGAGTATTATTCAGCCATAATAATGAAATTCTGCCATTTGTAGTAATGTGGATGGACCTAGAGAATTTTATGCTTAGTGAAACAAGTCAGACAGAGAAAGACAAATATTGTGTGCTATCACTTATATGTGAACTCTAAAAAACAATACAAATGAATGTATAAAGCAAAATTGGAACATTCTCACAGATACAGAAAACAAACTAGTGGTTACTAGTGGGGAGAGAAGATGGTGGAGGGGCACATTAGGGCTACAGAATTGAGTTACAAACTACTAAGTATAAAACAAATAGGCAACAAGAATATATTGTATAGCACAGGGAATTTATAGCCATTATCTTGTAATAACGTTTAATGGAGTATAAACTGTAAAAATACTGAATCACTATGTCGTACACCTGAAACTATAAAAAATATAATATTGTAAATCAATACTATACTTCAATTAAAGGAAAAAAAAAAAACAGAGAATTCCCTGGCAGCCCAGTGGTTAGGACTTCACACTTTCACTGCTGAGGGCACAGGTTCCATCCCTGTTCAGAGAACTAAGATCCCACAAGCCATGTGGTACAGTCAAAAAAAAAAAAAACACACACACACATGAACTCACTCCCTGATCATTTTTATTCCAGTTCTACTAAGATATAATCTGACATATAACATTGTTTAAGTCTAAGGTATACAATGTACTCACTCACTCCTTATTTTTAACATTGCACTGAATAAAATATAAAATCTTGATTCTGACTATGTCTTGCTGATCCACCCCGAACTGTTATACTAGCATTGCAACTTAATTAACACCAATATAATATAGTTATTCAACCAATGTATGAAGTGAACTTAATCATAAATGAATAACTAACAGAATAAATGAGAATTTCCAATTTCAATCTTTTGGTTTTTTTTGGCCACGCCACACATTATGCAGGATCTTGGTTCCCTGACCAGGGATCAAACCCATGCCCCCTGCAGTGGAAGCACAGAGTCTTAACCACTGGACTGCCAGGGAAGTCCCTCAATCATTTATTTTAAGCTAAAGATTTATTTCCAACTAATGCTTTATTTTCTCTTACCAATTAGAATGGCATATTAAGATTTAAAATATGGTTATCATTATAATCCTAGGGAAATACTTAGAGGTTTATCTAATATACGTTAGAATGTTTATATCCCCATTCCAAATAATTTAAAAAAGAAAACAAACTTCCATTCATTGGCTCTACCTCTAGGATAAAAATTTTGTACTTTGTGATTTTTTTTTTCTCTCAGTATTGGTTGCTATTAACAGCTACATAATTAAAGCATGTCAGTGACTTACCTCTAATGTTGACAGCAGAACTTCCATTCCTGTAGAACCTTTGGCTGTCATTTCTCTCCTTGTTTTTTCTGAAAAGTAGGAAAAAAAGTTTTCTTCTAAAACATGAAAGAAAAAAATTACATATAGTTTTATCACACAGTTAACATTTACTAATATCAGATATTATATTAGTTATAATTATATTATATTAGATAATATTCCCCATGGTATACAACATATCCTTATGGCCTATCTTACATCAAATACTTTGTACCTCTCACTCCTCACCACTATATTGCCCCTCCCTCCCTCCCTACCAGTAACACTAGTTTGTTCTCTATATCTGTGAATCTGCTTCTTTGTTATATTCACTAGTTTGTTGTATATTTTAGATTCCACATTTAAGTGATACCATACAGTATTTTTCTTTGTCTGACTTATTTCACTTAGTATAATGCCCACCAAGTCCATCCATGTTGCTGCAAACGGCAAAATTTGTTCTTTTTTATGGCTGAGTAGTATTCCATTGTGTGTGTCTGTGTTTGTGTGTGTATATCACATCTTCTTCGTCCATTCATCTGTTGATGGACACTTAAGTTGCTTCCATATCTTGGCAATTGTAAATAATGCTGATATGAACAGTGGGGTGCATATATCTTTTCAAATTAGTGTTTTTGTGGCTTTTTGGATATATACCCAGGAGTGGTATTGCTGGGTCATATGGTAGTTCTATTTTTAGTTTTTTGAGAAAGCTCCATACTGTTTTCCACAGTGGTTGCACCAATTTACATTCCCAACGACAGTGTACAAGGGTTTTTTCTCCACATCCTCACCAACATTTGTTATTTGTGTTCTATTTGATAATAGCCATTTTGACAGGTGTGAGGTGATAGCTCATTGTGGTTTTGAGCTACATTTCACTGATGATTAGCAATATTGAGCATCTTTTCATATGCCTGTTGGCCACCTCCATTTTCTCTTTGGAAAAATGTCTGTTCAGTTCTTCTTCCCATTTTTTAATTAGGCTGTTTTTTTTTTTTTTGATGTGAAGTTGTATTAGCTGTCTATATATATTAGATATTAATCCCTTACCAGTCGAAACATTTGCAAATATTTTCTCCCATTCAGTAGAAATGGAAACTAGATGATCCTTTTCATCACAATAAATAGAAAAACAAAAAAAAAAAGGTTGTCTTTTTGTTTTGTCAATGGTGTCCTTTGCTTTTAAATTGAATTAGGTCCCATTTATTTATTTATTTTTGCTTTTATTTACTTTAGGGCATGAATCCAAAAAATTATTGCTGCGATTTATGTCAGAGTGTTCTGCATATGTTTTCCTCTAGGAGTTTTATAGTATCCAATCTTACATTTATATCTTTAATCCAATTTGAGTTTATTTTTGTATATGGCATTAAAGAATGTTTTAATTTCATTCTTTCACATGCAGCTGTCCAGTTTACCCAGCACCACTTACTGAAGAGGCTGTATTTTCTCCATCGTATATTTTTGCCTCCTTTGTCATAGATTAAGTACCTGGGTTTATTTCTGGGCTCTCTATCTTGTTCCATTGATCTATGTGTCTGTTTTTTGTGCCAATACCATACTGTTTTGATTACTGTCGCTTTGTAGTATAGTCTGAAATCTGGGCATGTGATTCCTCCAGCTCTGTTCTCCTTTCTCAAGATTGCTTTGGCAATTTGGGGTCTTTTGTGTTTCCATACAAATTCTGAAATTATTTGTTTTAGTTCTGTGAAACATGCCATTGGTATTTTGATAGGGATTGCACTGAATCTGTACATTGCCTTGGGTAGTATGGTTATTGTAACAATACTGATTCATCCAATCCATGAACATGGTATATCTTTCCATCTATTTTTGTCACCTTTAATTTCTTTCATCAGTGTCTTATAGTTTTCAGAGTACAGGTCTTTTGCCTTCTTAGGTAGGTTTATTCCCAGGTGTTTTACTCTTTTTGATGTGATGATAAATGGGGTGGTTTCCATAATTTCTGTTTCTGATATTCTGTTGTTAGTGTACAGAAATTCAGCAGATTTCTGTATTTTAATTTTGTATCCTGCAACTTTACCAAATTCATTGAGGAACTCTAGTAGTTTCTGGTAGCATCTTTAAGGGTTTTCTATGTATAGTATCATGTCATCTGCAAGCAGTGACTATTTTACTTCTTCCTTTCCAATATGGATTCCTTTTATTTTTTTTTCTTCTCTGATTGCTGTGGCTAGGACTTCCAAAACTATGTTGAGTAAAAGTGGTGAGAGTAGGCATCCGTGTCTTGCTCCTGATTTTAGAGAAAATACTTTCAGCTTTTCATCACTGAGTATGATGTTAACTGTGGGCTTATCACATATGGCCTTTATTACGTTGAGGTATGTTCCCTCTACGCACACTTCCTGGAAAGTTTTTACCATAAGTAGATGTTGAAATTTGTCAAAAGCTTTTCTGCATCTATTGAGACGATTATATGGCTTTTATTCTTCAATTTGTTAACGTGGTGTATCACACTGTTTGATTTGTGGATATTGAAGCATCCTTACATCCCTGAGATAAATCCCACTTGATTATGGTGTATGATCCTTTTAATGTATTGTTGGATTCAATTTGCTAATATTTTGGTGAGGATTTTTGCATCTATGTTCATCAGTGAGATGGGCCTGTAATTTTCTTTTTTTGTGATATCTTTGGTTTTGCTATCAAGGTAATGCTGACCTTGTAGAATGAGTTCAGAAGCATGCCTTCCTCTGCAATTTTCTGAAGCAGTTTCACAAAGATAGGTATTAACTCTTCTCTAAACATTTGGCAGAATTCACCTGTGAAGCCATCTGGTCTAGAACTTTGGTTTGTTGGGAGTGTTTTAATTACTGATTCAGTTTCATCACTGGTACTTGGTTTGTTCATATTTTCTGTTTCCTCCTGGTTCAATCTTGGGAGACTGTACATTTCTAAGAATTTGCCCATTTTTCCTAGGTTGTCCATTTTATTGGCATATAGTTGTTCATAGTAGTCTCTTAATGAGCTTTTGTATTTCTGTGGTTTCAGTTGTAATTTCTTTTTCATTTCTGATTTTATCAATTTGAGCATTCTCTTTTTTTTTTTTTGATGTATCTGGTTATAGGCTTATCAATTTTGTTTATCTTTTCAAAGAACCAGCTCTTATTTTCACTCATTCTAATTTTTTTAAGTCATTTCATTTATTTCTGCTCTGATCTTTATGATTTCTTACCTTCTACTAACTTTGGGTTTTGTTTGTTCTTTCTTTTTCTAGTTTCTTTAGGTGTAAGGTTAGGTTATTTGAGATTTTTGTTTCCTGGGCTAAGCTTGTATCACTGTAAACTTCCCTCTGAGAACTGCTTTTACTGCATCCTATAGATTTCAGACCATTATTTTCATTTCATTTGTCTCCAGGTATTTTATGATTTCCTCTTTGATTTCTTCAGGGATCCATTTCTTGTTTAGTAACGTACTGTTTAACCTCCATATATTTGTGGTTTTCGCAGGTTTTTTTTCCCTTGTAGTTGATTTCTAGACTCATAACATTGTGGTTTTATCTTTTATAAGATACTTGATATGATTTCAATTTTCTTAAATTTACCGAGGCTTATTTTGTGGTCTAGCATGTGAACTATCTTGGAGGATGTTCCATGTGCACTTGAAAAGAATGTGTATTTTGCTGCTTTCAGATGGAATGTTCTATATATATCTATCAAGTCCATTTGGTTAAATGTGTCATTTAAGGCCAGTGTTTCCATATTGATTTTCTGTCTGGATGATATGTCCCTTGATGTAAGTGGAGTGTTAAAGCCCCCTACTATTATTGTGTTACTGTCCATTTCTCCCTTTATGCCTGTTAATACTTGCTGTATGTATTTAGGTGCTCCTATATTGGGTGTAAATTTATTTACAATTGAATTGATCCCTTGATCATCATGTTAAGTCCTTCTTTGTCTCTTGTAATGGTCTTTGTTGTCTGATACAAATATTGCTACTCTGGCTTTCTTTTGATTTCCATTTGCATGGAATACCTTTTTCTGCAGAGGAAATGTTTGAAGCTAGCAGAGGTTGATTCATGAGGCTCAATGAAAGAAGCCATCTCTATAACATAGAAGTGCAAAGTAAAGCAGTAAGTGCTGATGTAGAAGCTGCAGTGAGTTGGTTACACAACAGCAGAT